GTTTGAGAGCTCCCCCCCTTGGGGTGTGTTTTGAAGCTTGAAGACTTCTCTATTTATAGGGCTAAGAGGGAGAAACATCATGATGAATTCCCACACCATCCTTCATCTTTTGCTGCTGCACCTCAAGCTTTCTTCACATGGGTTCAAAGGTGATCAGTTGTGGCTGCCTTTTGCTGCCAACCCATGTGGTCTTCTTTTGGTTGCTAAACAAAAACGAGTTTTCTGAACCAGGCTTGGTGTAGGAAGGCCAGAGGTTTCAACACGTATCCAATGGGGCTCAAATTTGGATATGTTATACTAGACACCCATTGGAACAACTTCTATGAAGAAAGTATTCCCATCTGAGTAGCAAAAGTGTACGTTTCGGGTCTTGCAAGTTGACTGTTCGCAGTAGACTGGAACTGACTTCATTTCATTTCTTTCCTTTCTTTTTGCTTCACATGCATGCACATGCTTTTGCCAAAGCCTTTTGCCTTGTCAAGCTCTCTCTCCAACTCAAAACCTGATCTCCAGCTCCAAAGTGATCTGCCAATTCAATTCCCATGTTCAAAGGCTGAAGCAAAATGCCTCTCATCATTCCTCATTCTTCTCTCTCCTTTCCACCATGGCACTTTAACCTTTGTCTCTTCCTTGTCCCCTTTGCCATGATGTATTTTTGTCTTCACAAATATGCTCTTTGTCTCAGAAAATCCCACTTAACTAAAGTAATTTATTGTTACCAAATGGCATGGTAACAAGTAGAAATAAGATGGCATCAAGTGGAGGTGAAAGCTGGCCCAAGACAGATTTCAGAGCTGTGGTAACATGATGGATCAGATGGATAGGCTATACTTGTCCAATGGAGCTCATATTTGGATATGTTGTAGTCAACATCCATTGGAACAAGTTTCATGAAGATCTTCACCTCATCCGAGCACCAGAGTATGCTGATTTAAGGCCAAGAAGTTGACCTACGAAAATGAACAAAAACAGAATTTATAACCAATAAAACACTTTTATTTCATTTTCATTCTAACCAAGGTAAAATCTATGAAAACAATTGAATTTCTTGCGCTGACGTCAGCAGCCCGAAGGCAAGAGAACGGGCCATATCTGCCCATGGGATTGCCTGAGCTTGTGGGACCCACCCCTTAGACGGGCTGGACTTGGCGCGCTGGAGCTGCTTCCCGGGCCTAGGGCCCCCTCCTGCTTGGGCTGGCCTCTTGTGTTGGAGATGCTCTTATTACAAAGAAACTCCCGCTTTCTAAGGACCTAAAAAAAAAAAGTAAATGAAAGATATGCATCCATGATCATCATTAGCTCTAATGAGTGTTTCTAATACATTTTGGTGATCCTAATATCACATTATTGCTAGTACGTACTCTAGTGATTCTTCCCAGGTTTCGGCCCATAAACAACAAAGAAGGCCTGAATTGCAGAGAGTAGTAGGAGTATAACAGCAGCTAAAACAGACAAGAAAGACCATGGAGTACCAAAATACTTGAATCTTAAACCTTCCCATCGCACATGCCACATATTTCTATGGCACTCATTCACGTCCTTGAACAACTTCGATAGATTACCCTCACCAATATTTAAAGGCACATCTTTGCCAAGGTTTTTGAAGAAATGAACAACCTCCTCATCAGTTCCAAGATAATTCTCGACAATTTTTTTGTCGCAGAGAAATGATACGTCTTCAGGCGTGCAGATCAGACAGCTCATGAATGCAGCTTGTTACATCCTTTGAGCAATGAGAGTAGCATTGTTCAAATGCTACAAAATTCATCAATAAATCAGTCCGTAGATTGTCGATTACTATGTGTGGAATATCCAGCACTCCATTGCAAAATCTTATCTCTAAGAAGCTCACTGCCTCCCTTGTCTTGAACTTAATTCCAGCTTAACGAAGCTTTTTGGCTGACTGGATAAATTCAATGGACGGAGAAGTATTTCCCTTCCTTCCTGCTACGAACTTTTGCATTGCCTTCCTTGTTCCTTCTAGAGGCTTTTTGGCATACTTAATCAACTGAACTAATGGACGAACATTTCGAGACTCTTCTTGAGGTGAATGATCATAGGGTTTAGCGATAAAACTCCAGCGGAGTAAATCCAGTAAATGTTTTCGTTCAACAGTAGTAAAGTCCTGATTTAACACTTGCTCTGGGGTTTCTACTGCATAACGAAAGAAGTCTAAAGCAAGTTTGGCTAAGGATGAGTCACTATCTTTTCTTGAAGGTTTTGATTCATCAAATAGTTTTTGAAGAAGGAAGAAAGGAATTTGATTCTCGAAACGAAAAAGATCTCGTAAGATATTAGCGAATACCCATGCCATGTTAAAGATGGGATCGTCTGGATCACTTGGCGACAATTTTCCTACTTTGCAAAAGAGTTCAATAGCGAAGAGACCATCCAACACCATCACCTCAACTAGATCATGACTGCTTAAGCTGATGGTCTCCGAATAGCACCCTCTTATTTCTTCTTCCATTGCTGCAACCACCTGCTGATAGTGATCAAGTGTTGGGCCGTTTGAAGGTGTTCGAGCAAGTAGATCGCGAAGAAATTTCCATTTGTGTTGCTGCATCATCTCCAAACGTTGATCTCCATAGTGATATGGACCACTGGAGACAATATGGGGCTGGTAAGTCTTGTTGTTTATTTCCACAAGGCATTGACGTACCTTGAAAATGCAACAAGACTCGTTTCCTGCTGATGGATGCAGAAGCCATCTTGTTTCCTGGATTCTTTGGTCCAATGGTGTTGTCTGGATATTGGTTGTCGCTGCAATTGTGATGACAGCATGATCTCTTCCTCCAATAGCTGTTGGCGAGTTTGATTGTGAGTTCATTATTGTAGCTCTAAAGAAGCGAGGGTTATTTTAGCTAATGAAGTTGAATGAAAAATAGATGAAGTTAAATGAAATCTGCCACTGAAGAATTAACTTTCGAGACGAAGAGACAGGACAAACCTTGGTGGACAATGCCAGCTTCTTTTCCATCATAAATAACAGCTTCATGTTTCTTTTTTTTTTTAAAGATAAACAATTTCAATTGAAGAGAAAAAACGAGTTACAAAAGGTCCTCGATTAACACATCCTGAATGAGTCCGGGAGCATCCCAAACCCAAGAGGAAGTATTAGCTTCTCTTCTAGGAACAAAACAAATAGAAACGACGGACAACCCCTTAATCAAGAAACGACAATCATCAATCAGCATACCCACATGGGAGTGATCATCCCTCGTACTAATATTATTTGTACTCTTTTGTGCAAAGGTTGCACAATTATTGGTGCTTTATATTAACTGTCACAGGGCAATCATAATAAATTGGTGGGTTTTCCACCACTCATGAAGCATAAGTTTACTTTTTTTCGTGTCCTTTGCTTAATACTTTTTAGCACGAAAGTATTAGATCTGATTTGACTTCTATACATGTACACCGATTATTCATTCGTGTCCAAGGTATTTTTTAATGAAGAAAAAAAAATTATTTAAAAAAGAAAACCTAAACCAACTTTTTTTTTTCTCTCTCTCACCACCGCCAGCTTTTCTTTTTAAAATTAATTTTAAATGATTTTCTTTATATTTAACAGAATTTGGATGGAATGAATCATATTGCCTAACAAATACAAACACAATGATCAAATTGACCAAATTGATAACACATGGATTAAATTTACCGATTGAATTAAACACAATGAACATTTTAACATTTAAGCCATAATTATATATATGAAAATCCATCATCATGAGTCTTTTTCAAAGACTTTAACAGAGGATGTAAGACGCACAATTTGGGAACAGCAAATCTTAACCTGTGCAAGATATTGCAAAGATTTTGATGGGAATATCACAACGCAATTATGCGATGGATGTACTGATTTTCGACACGTGTCATGAGTCCAATGGTGCTAATGGCCAAAGAATCTTTAGGTGGGCCACACGCCTAGTCTCCTGAGGCCCGAATAATTAGAAAACGACATTTTCTCTATCATTTCTTCCACATGTGACTTTTTTCATTATGTTTGTTTACCCGAAAAAACAAGAAGAGAAATGCTAGCGATCTTCTCTCTTACCTTCTCTTTTTTTTGCTTGACATGTGTCATTCTCCTTACACTTAAAATAATGTCATTAATACATTAAACAACGTCATTCTATTGCATAATGAAAAAAGTCTAAGCCTGACGTTAAAAAAAAGGGACATTTCCTCTTTTTTTTTTAAACAGACATTTAAAAAAAAATTAATTGATGTTAAAAAAAAATTAATTGACGTTAAAAAAAAAAATTAATGAGGTGGTAAGAAAGTTGTGAAATTTTTTTGGATAAATTGAATACGGTAAACTTGGAAAGCAAAAGTTAGCTTGTATAATATATTAATGATATTGTTTTAAGTGTAAGGAGAATGACACATATCAAGCAAAAAAGGGAGAAAGTCCGAAAAAGAAGATTAGAAAGAAGGTTGCTAGCATTGCCCCATAGGCTTGCGGCTTTTACACGGCGGGCTAATACTTCCTCTTGGGCTTGGGATCCTCCAGGGCTCATTCGGATATGTTAATCGAGGACCTTTTGTAACTTGTTTTTATCCCTTCAATTCAAATCGTTGCTCTCAAAAAAAAAAAAAAAAACTCAACGACATATCTGAAAATTGTTATTTAATCTTCTATAAAATACAATACAATACTAGTCTTACTCTGCACACAGTACATGAGAACAATTGGGATGGCATAATCTCATGCACAAGAATCAATTGAGGGCTGCCTGATCACTTTTCAGAATCAAATTGAAGGCTGAATGATCAAGAAAGCTGTGGTACTTCTTATATAAACCTCTTGCACTTGTTAATTTCTTCTTCTTTTAAATATATATATATCAGTTAATGTGTCTGCATTAGAAATCTTAGAGAAACCAGCTATTGCGAAAGCTCAAAATTTTCAGGTAAGGTTCGGATTAAATTGAGTTTATTTGTATCTGTCTTACACGAAAAGACACTTAAAATAATGCTTGACTTACCACATTTGTAATTTCTGTACTTGTTTTAGGACTAACGACTAAGAATTTCTACGAAACCAGAGTTTGCAAGTCTTTCTCCGCGTCGATTATCAATGTTTGTGTTCCCAAAACCAGCCCATGAGCCCAATACCAGTTCTGCTGATGCTGCGGATGCTACTGAACTACTCTTGAATCTTTCAATCTTTGGGTTCAGCCAACTCTCTGCCTCTGATCAACATGAGAAGACGAAAGAAATCTATAAAAAAAGTAGTTGAAGATGTTGTAGTGGAGCAACTCTCGGACGAAAGTAAAGGGGATTTCAGACCCAGAACATTCACCGAGCTATTCAAGAAACTTCCCTTCCCTGACCAGAACCATTTCCTGTCCACAGTTATAAAGAAATTCAAGCGCCAGAGGCAAATTGGCGAGTTGATTTCTTGGTTTACTACCGAACTTGAGCCCAATGATCAACAACAACTGATTGGAAAAATGATTCATGTCAAAGCTGATGATGAAACCAATGACGGTTTCAGGCTGAGAAGATTTACTCAGCTTTGTAAGGATTATACTGACTATGTTTATATGCATTTTGTCGCCTGCAGGGAAGAATATAGCACGAAACCAAAACATACACAACAGACATCCGGTACTCATGAAGGTGGTTTGGATTGGCAGTCCCGTTTTAATGAGTTTTTCTTAGGTTTCTCAATTATATGGTTCAAGGGACAAAGCTCCCATGGTCAATGGCAGCTGATTGACCAACTCTGTGATGGAGTTAAAGGTGTTATGGCTGAGAAGCTCGCAGACGAAAGCGACGCAGATTTCAAACTCAGAAGATTCACAGAGCTATGTAAGAAAGTGGTTGACTTTGGTGTCCAAGTCCACTTCCTTGACAAAGCTGAAGAGCAGCTGCTGCACAAACGAAGAGATCTTCCTCATGGGGTGCTCGTTCAGCCCCAAGATTCTGCCAGTGCTGCCGAATTACTCTCGCAGCTTTCGAGTTTTGGGTTCAGCCTACTATCCCCCAACGACCAACAAGACAAGATTGAACACATCTCTAACGAACTTGCTGCCCAAGGTGTTAATAATAATATTGTCGAAAGACTTGCAGGGGAAACAGAGGAAGATTTGAGAAGGAAAACATTCGCAAAGCTGTTTAATAAAGCTCCGGTGGCTACACAAGTTCATTTATTCGAGGAGTTTACTCAAAAATTCTTTGTTGAAAGACGCTTATGCGAGTCCATTCTTTTCTTCAGGCAATTGGATTCCAAGGAGCAACAAGAAAAGATTGAAAATATGCTTGATCAGTTCATGAGGTGGGAAGGCGAAGATGTCAAAGATGTCATACTCGAGAGACTGTCCGAGGAATGCGATGAGAATTTTGGGCTCAGAAGATTTATTAAGCTGGGTAGCACATATACATTCCTTTTGGATCACTTCTTATGGGATGAAGCAAAGAAGTGGGATCTAAAAGATTTACATATGCAGACGTCAGGTAAAGAAGAGATAGAAGAAATCAAGCAGTCCCGCTATGCTGAATTTTACTTGGGATTTTCAATTATTTGGTTCAAAGCAGTATGTGCCAGTGATCCAAGAAACATCATTCAAGTATTTTTTGGTAAAGTTGGAGGAGGAGGTGATCATACAATTGAGAAACTCGTCAACGAGACTGAGGAGGATTTCCGGTTCAGAAGATTTACAGAGTCGTTTAAACAACTTCAATTCAGTTCCCAGGAGGATATTGTGAAATGTATTCAAACGACACTATTGCATGATCTAGGTGTTGGTGTTAAATTCATTATGATGGGAACTCCAAATCTAAGAGGATCAGGAGGAGTAACAGCCGCTCAAGGAGGAGGACGGGGACAAGCCAACGGTAGATGATTTGCAGCCACATGCACTTATGAAAGAAGCCTTCAAATGATAATTCAAAAGATGTGGTCAATTCCATGCATATAGCAGCACTACTCTTCTCTATTAGTTTGCCATGTCACGCCAGCATGCGTGTTTTATTTTCGTACGCAATTTTGCGTTACTCTTTCTTGTTTCTTCTTGATGAGACGAGAAATGCAAAATATCTATTATGTGTGTTTCCTAATTTCAATGGGATATTTTTACCCAAAAAAAATTTCGATGGGATATGATAAGCTCTATCTTTTTGTAATTTATGCACTGAAAGCCTATATTGGTATACTAGTCAATGTGGTTCACCACCAAAGCGGCTCCAAACATCCAGCAGGGTAGACGCGGTCCGATTTTAATTAGCTATAATGAAGGGAGAAATCAAACCAAACCATAAGGTATCTCTATGACTATGTCGTAAATATGGAATTGTACTTCGTAACATACCAACTTGCCTTCTTCCTCATTATATATCTGATGAGTTTAGTTAAAATTAATCAAAGCACTAAACTCTAACAAATGCAATTATATTTAATCAAAGACCAATCATGCATCATAATGTCATATTATTGTTTGGACTATTAATCAGATCCAAATTGGAGAGGCCTGCAATCTATTGAAAAAAAATTATGTCCACAGTCCACACCATGTAGAACAATTACCTGCGCATTTAATTTGATCAAATTTTATCCTTGTTCTTTCTTCTAAATGTAGGTGGAGACATATTCTTCTTCCATAATGCTATTCCAGTTCAATCTATTTTAAAGATGGTCATCTGCATACTTTTCATGCTAAATAAAAGTCCTAGAGCATTGTGGGTTGGAATTGGGTCCGTAGTTGACAACTAGTGATTGGAACTCTCTTCTTTTACCAAACACATACTCTGTCTAATCCCCAGTTGACAACTCCTGATCTGAATTACTTTGTTATGGTTTGTAACCTTAATGCTCTGCCAACATCAGTGTTTGGTATGATTTTTATAAGCTAGACACTTTTTCTAGTTTATCTAAGATCAAATTCGTATATGCAAGCCCTTCTGAGCATTGCAAATATTGTTGGCACTTTTATCGGACTCATTGTAATGTCTCAAGTAGATTACAGTGGTGTTTGAGGAGCTCTGTTTATGTCCAACAACCATTCCTCCTTTTTGTTCTTAGGTTGTTTATTGTTTTAAATCAAATGTATTTAGTTTGAATAGATTCGCATTTGCTTTCTTATAACCAAGG